TATTATTATTATTATTATTATTATTATTATATATTATTATTATTATTATTATTATTATTATTATTATTATTATTATTATATATTATTATTATTATTATTATTATTATTATTATTATTATTATTATTATCTATTATTATTATTATTATTATTATTATTATTATTATTATTATTATTATGTATTATTATTATTATTATTATTATTATTATTATTATTATTATTATTATATATTATTATTATTATTATTATTATTATTATTATTATTATTATTATTATCTATTATTATTATTATTATTATTATTATTATTATTATTATTATTATTATATATTATTATTATTATTATTATTATTATTATTATTATTATTATTATTATCTATTATTATTATTATTATTATTATTATTATTATTATTATTATTATTATCTATTATTATTATTATTATTATTATTATTATTATTATTATTATTATTATCTATTATTATTATTATTATTATTATTATTATTATTATTATTATTATTATTTATTATTATTATTATTATTATTATTATTATTATTATTATTATTATTATCTATTATTATTATTATTATTATTATTATTATTATTATTATTATTATTATCTATTATTATTATTATTATTATTATTATTATTATTATTATTATTATTATTTATTATTATTATTATTATTATTATTATTATTATTATTATTATTATTATTTATTATTATTATTATTATTATTATTATTATTATTATTATTATTATTATATATTATTATTATTATTATTATTATTATTATTATTATTATTATTATTATTTATTATTATTATTATTATTATTATTATTATTATTATTATTATTATTATGTATTATTATTATTATTATTATTATTATTATTATTATTATTATTATTATATATTATTATTATTATTATTATTATTATTATTATTATTATTATTATTATCTATTATTATTATTATTATTATTATTATTATTATTATTATTATTATTATATATTATTATTATTATTATTATTATTATTATTATTATTATTATTATTATGTATTATTATTATTATTATTATTATTATTATTATTATTATTATTATTATTTATTATTATTATTATTATTATTATTATTATTATTATTATTATTATTATATATTATTATTATTATTATTATTATTATTAT